ACATTATCCTTCACCCTAGAAGAAATACCTTTATGTGCTCCGCACCACTAGATTCCTAGAAATTTCACTGATGTAGAAGGCCCTTGAGTTTTGGTTGAATTTATTTCTTATCCTTTGATGTACATATTCGTTACCAACAAGTCCAAAGTGGTTGCTACCTCTTGCTTACTTGGCCCAATCAGTGTGTCATCAATACTTTGTACCAGTGTGATATTTTGTAGGGAAAACCAGATGATCAAGCTCCCTTTGAACTAAGTTATGACATAGGGATGGAAAGTTAACACACCCTTGAGGTAAGACTGCAAAGGGATACTGCTGGTCTTGCCAACTGATAGTCAATTGCTTCTGGTGGTCCTTCTAAACAGGTGCTGAGAAGAAGGCATTGCTAGATCAAGAGCTGCGTATCACACAACAGCTAGGAGACGCGTTAATTAGCTCAAGTAAGAACATCACATGTCATGCAGCAGCTGCAGTCACAATCACTACCTGATTAAGTTTGTGACAGTCAACTATCATTCCCACAATCTATCTTCTGCGCATCCAAATAGAAGAGTAAAGGACAACATGCTGGGAACCACCACTCCTGTATCTTTCATGTCCTTGACAGTGGTACTAACTTCTGCAATTCCTTGGTTTGGGTTCACTATTTTCCCTGGTACAGGCAACTCCAATCGTTTCCATTTGGCCTTTCCAACCATAACAGCCCTCACTCCATAGGTTAGAGAACCGATGAGGGAATTCTGCCAACTTTAGTGTATCTGTTCCAGTGACACACTCTGGAGCTAGGGAAATAACCACAGAATGAGTTCATGAGGAATCGCTCCAGATTTCCAGAACACAGAAAGTGCCATGGGTGACACCACACAGCCTCAGAGTGGGTAAGCCCAGTGAGACTGAGCACCAGCACGGCCTGTTCTCACCACACTTCCAGCCAGAGGCTGAGTGAAGTGTCCATGTGCCTGCTGGCCCAGCTATCCTCTCTCTCTGCTGAAAGGCCTATCTCTTCCCCAGTTTCACAAGGCCAGTGCTCTAACCCCTGAGCTATGGAGCCCTCACCTATCTTCCCCAATTTCAAATGGTACTATTTCTGCTTTTCACATACTTGGGAGTAATTTCCCTCTTCCCCTTGCCCCTAGCTGGACTCAACTACTGCTGTGCTAGAGTCAACAACAAAGCACTGAATGGTCCAGAAGCCCATCATGGCTGAACTGCTCTAGTGTTACATCTGGAGAGCAAAAGTTCAACTGGAAGTGATACAGTAATTATCTAGTGGGAGAGAGACCATGATACCCTTTCTCCTGTCTCCCCTTCTCCACCCCTTTCCCCCCACCCCTCAGTGCTAGTCAAAATGACATGTAAGGAAATAGTATTTATAAAATCAGGGTGTAAGCTGTTATGGACAACATGAATTCCTAAGATATAAAACACCATCTCCTCTCCATTAGGAAACTCCATAGAACACACCATGACTGCATGCTACAGATAGACTCTATCTGCTGAGTAACAAAAAGACCCCAGTTGATCTGTGTTTCACCTGACATCTGGACTCCAGCTATGTTTCCTAGGAGCTGGGGTGGTTGGTACCTTGCAGGCGCCATTCTACCGCTCCATTTCATTGTTTTACATAAGGGTTTTCATAAGTCATCATGTGCTTCAGGTAGAGGCATAAAGATCCTATGATGGGGCTGGTACACAGGACATGCATTGAAATATTTGCCTCATGCATGGTAGTTATGAGACAAATCCTTCATTTACATCTATGGGGAGCTACTTGTGCTCAGGGCTGTGGCTCTTGTCTACCATGATGATTAACTTTAAGTGCCAAGGTCTAGAATCACCTGGAAGAGTCTCAATTTGGGAGTATCTGGTTGACCTTTGAACGTGTCTGGGGGAGTGGGAGATAACTCTGGATTACATTCATTGATGTGGGAAGACCTAGTCCAAAGCAAGCATCATCATTCCTTGTGTTTGGGTCTTGAACTGTGTAAAGAGTGGAGAAAGTAAGCTCTGTGCAGCACACACACATTCATTTAATGCTCTATGCTTTTGACTGTGGATGGATGCTTCAAGAGCCTACTGCACTGACTTCTCTGCTATGATGGGCTGTAACCTGAGCTTTGACTAAAATAAATTCTTCCCCAGGCTGCTTTTGTCAGGGCACTTCATCACAGCAACAGGAAAGAAACCTAAAACTGCTACCAAGGATTGGAAGTTGGGCCACAAGGCAAGGTAAACATCAGAAAAGAATTCTGCTGCAGGGCTGCCTGAGGAGGTCCCTGGAGAGGCTTCGTGCGGTAAGGAGGGAAGCACAGGTTTGTGAGTGCCAGGAGGAGCTTCCTGGTGACACCGAGCTCCTCAGCCTCTATGCCTTCTATACCACGAGTCCGTCTTCCACCCTCTATCCTGATGCGCTCACAATGTCTCTGCTTGCACCTAATATATGGCAGTTTTGCCACAGAGAAGCTTTGCTTTGGCCTCCTAAATCTATTCCTTAACAGCCTTTCTCATGTAACAAGTCACACTAGCACCCACAGTCGTTCCTGCCCAGGCTGAAGGCTTTCTTTGTGATCAATCTCCATTTGTCAGCTTTTTTCAGCCCGGTTGAATTCAAGGGGCCCAGGGGCATTTTCAAGTGTGTCAATACCTAGAGCTCTGCCTCTAGACTGATTAGAGTGGAACCCTGAGGGCAGTCCTTTAAAAATCTCTTTAAGGAATTCTGACTGTGTAGTCAGACTTAATGAATCTGGCTTAAATAAGCTTCAAATTCAACAGCTTTTCTGCTTCTACCGTGATCCAAGTGAGTCTGTGTCCGGCCAAAACCACGGCAGTGCTCCTAGTCCCACTCTTCTCCACCCCCCCCCCAGCCTCACCGTAAGCACAGTGCCGTGTACCTCACCAAGGTTCTGGGGGCCCTACACAGCCTCGCAGGACCCTGCCTCTGTGGCCCTTTTCACTCTCCCTGATCACCATGCTTTAGTCTCATCCTCTTTTCGCTTCTGCCTGAAAATCTTTGCATGCCCTGGCCTGCAGCTTCATGCCATTCACATCTGCTTTGATAACCATGGGGAGGCCTTCTTGGATATTCGTGGCCTAATGGGTGCCCACTATACCCTCCTGTGGCTCTTCTACTGTCATTAGTGCAGTTAGCAATTTCAGCCATCACCTCATTCCTCAGAGGAATGTGAGGTTACTGAGGGCAGGGATTCTGTCTGCCTTATTCTCTCAGCTGTACCAGCTGCTCAATCTTTTGCAGGGCTGGCACCCAGTCAAACAACTGTTCATCTGCCCATCACTGCACAGCAGGGCCAAGCACATAATCGCTACAGCCGTCCTTGTCCAGTGATATTCTTGTCACTCTTTAGTTAAAAATCCTTACAGCCAGACTTAGTGGCACACACCTTTAATCTCAGCAATTGGGAGGCAGAGGCAGGAAGACCTCTGTGAGTTCAAGACCAACCTGGTCTACACATGAGTTCTAGAGCTACATGGTGAGGCCCTGTCTCTAAAGAAAAAAATGGGGGAGGTTCTAGACTCGTTCTTGCCCTATGTTTCTTCTTTCATAACCACACAGACACCAAAGGTAAATCCGTATCACCTGAGGTCTTCCATCCCAACAAACAGATGCCCAGAGGAGACACCACCTGTCTTTCTGCGCAGACGCTCCCCCTGCCCTCTGCTCTCCGCCTCGCACCACCAACCTCTGATGGACTGGCAGCTTTGCCTGCTTGTCCACAGCAAGCTACACGCCCTCTGCCAGGGTTGTCCTCACCTGTCTTCTCAACAGAGGCATCTTGATGGGAGAGCTGGTACTGACCTATGTATGAGCTGATAGGAAGAATGCAACTTCCTCCATTGTCTCCAACAGCAAGGGAATCACACAAATTTCTGAATAAACCCTTGGTTTGTTTTAACTTCTTTATACCCTTGTGTAACATCAGCACCAGTCCGCAGACCCTAGGATACGAAGCTTTAGGCGGTTCCATCTGGACCAGCCACACAGGTAGCTGAGCCAGCAAACTGCCCTTCCTTGGGAGGGATCAGCAATGCACCTGCCAGAAAGGGACTGGCTCAGCCCTGTGGTCTGTGCTTTGCTTTTCTGGGGCTCACAGAAACTGTGTGTGGCCATCAGCAGAACTTTCTCTTCTTTCTCAACTGAATGGCTACCACCCACATACCCAAACAGTAAATCCACCGGAGGGTTTTACCAAGTTAGGTGTATGGTTGTTTCCCATACCACACAATGAAAAGTCAGGAGGGCTTGATATGGGGTGTAGAAAACATTCAGGGGCCTTTGTCTCACTTGATATATTTATCTAAGTCACTAAATGGAACAAGTTTTACCCACAGATACCCAGAGGTGTATGCTGTAGTGCCAAACAGGCCTGGACAGCTTTTCAGGAAAAGAGGAATCTTTCTTCCCCTGACAATAGGTGTCTCATTATGTAGGCCTGGCTGGCCTCGAACTCATGAGCATCTACCTTCCTCTTCTTCCCTGGGACTAAAGGTGTGTGCCACCCTACCCAACCTAGAAAAAGAGGAATCTTGTGCAAGTTAATTGAAGGCTAAATTCATGCAGCTACAGAAACTGGGTGTGGCTGTAACATGAAGCCAATCTAACTCTGTCCTCTCTTTTTCTTTACTTTCCCCTAGAAGTCTTTTTGCTCCGACCATCTGGCCCAGTCTCTAAGGTTATCTGACTGCATCCTCCAAACAGGCTGGGTTTCCCTAGCTAGGCCCTTGACACAACAGGCTCAACAAATAAATAGAGCAGTGTGCAGACAGTGCCATTCAACCTACTCCCGTATGCTTTAATACAGGCATTGCCCCCTTCCCTGGCCAGAGTCCCCAAAACTCTAACAAGGGGAAGCTCACTTTTCCACCCAGCCCTGGCTGTCCTTTCTTCACATTCCCAAGATCCACGGGGAGCATGCGGGTTATGGCCACAACAGGGCCAGAGGGACAGAATGTGGGCTGGTCAAAACAAGCCCAGACATACTCACGGGGTCCGTCAGCATGGCCCGGCAGTGTGAGGCCAGGGCCAAGAAGGCCAGCAGGTTGAACACAATTCCGTTGATGATGCTGTACACGTAGTCTCGGGATGGAATCAGCATGACAAAGAGGACTACAAATTCCGCATAGAGGACCAGAAACCAGGTGACAATGGCACAGGCGATGCCACAGCCATCACGAATAAACCACATGGTTCCCGCAGGACCAGGGAAGGGAGGTGGGGCGCACTTCTCTGGCTGGAGGTACTCCGGTTTCCGCTCAATGTCTCGGAAGTGATGAGTGGGGATAAGCATCATAAGCTATTCTGTCCATACTGGCATCTGAAAGGAAAGGGAGCAGAAACATGGTGTCACCTTAGCAATAGGAGACTTCACAAGTGAACCGTGGTGTGTATGTGCAGATCTTGCACAAACGCTGCCTCAGTACCTTCTCCACTTAAGGGTTGTCCTCCTTGTCCCTCCCATTATAAAGCAAGAACACCTTCCCTGAATCCTTGTATGGAAGGTGAGAATGAAGAGACCTGACAGGGCAATGCTTTACCCAAGGGTAGCCAGACCAGACAGCAACTGGAGGTGGAACTAGCCTAAGTCTCCTTCGCCGTAAGGGCACCACTGAGCAAATAGTCCATTAAATTAAATCTGGGACAGCAAATACTAGGGAAAATCTCTTGTAAAACAGAAGAGCACCAAACGGAAATGCCTTGCTTTTAGGATAAGAGGCTCTGCGTTCTGCTCTCTGTGAGTGATGGGACAAAGAGCAGAGATGTTGGACAGTGTATTCAAAGGTCCCTATTACAAGACCTGTGAAGCACTGCCCCTGCCAGTATTGTTGGTTTCAGAGCTAGAGGGTTTGGGGGAGGGGCTTAGGTTGAACATCCTGCATAGCTCCCTGGCCATGTACAAGCATTCTTTTGGCAAGGCATTCTTTCCATTGGAAAAGTGATGGATAAGCAACTTTCTCCCTAAGAGGTAAAGCCCTGATGTCTGGAGATGCAATAACTAAGAACTGGGGGATGAGACAGAACAAAGTATAAATACAAAGTATAAGCACGAAAATGCTATAAGGAAACCCACTACTTTTATTATTCTGTTGAGACGTGGTTTCTCTATGTAATATCCCTGGCTGTCCTGAAACTTGCTTTGTAAACTAGATTATTATCAGATTCAAAGAGATCCACCTGCCTTTGCTTCCAGAGTGTTGGGATTAAAGGCACACACTACCATGCCTGGCTAAATAATAATAATAATAATAAATTATTATTATTATTATTTTGGGGTTTTTTGAGACAGGGTTTCTCTGTGGCTTTGGAGGATGTCCTGGAACTCGCTCTGTAGTCCAGGTTAGCCCCGAACTCACAGAGATCTACCTGCCTCTGCCCCCCCCCCAGTGCTGGGATTAAAGGCATGCACCACCAACGCCCAGAGTAATAATTATTTTTAAAGAGAATTAACTAAGAACGAATGTTGCATGCCTATCCATCCACAGCGAGCTACCTCAGCTGCTAGCTTGCTGCAGCACCAACCAGAGTTCTTGGTGAGAAACTGTAACAGCTCAATGCACTCCCAGTTATAGAAACCATGGAAAGCCACACTTAGCACAGGTGGTGGGGAGGCAAGTAATAGCTCAGCCTTTGGAGAGTAAGTCGCTTTGCAGTGGCAGAAATGACACTGGCCCCGTGATCTTCTAAAGGTGCTGGGCTTTCAACCGCTCTGTTATGAGCATGGCCACGATAGCCTGGGACAGCTAAGGATAGTGTGAAATGTTGCCTGGGTCGGTCATGCACACAGCCCAGCTCTGCTCCAAATGTAGTGCAGATTAAAGACAGATGGGTAGCTAAGTGTGTACATCAGAGTAACAAATTAGAGTGACTGTCCTACAGCAGGTACACATGCTGGGAAAAAAGTTGTCACATGTACAGAGTAACTTTCTCATGGAGAATGACACAATGGCTCTTGGTCATCATCTAGCAGAGCAATTTTGTGCTTGCTCTCCAGAGTGTGACAGTTCAGTGCTGCCTCAACAACATAACGGCATTACAAGGTGTAAGCTCACCTTCTGAAGCACTCAACAGACAGTAGGAAACTGCAGACCAAGAAAGACTGGGAACTGACCTGTGCCCAGCCAATTCTAAAACCCTGAATTCTATTCAACTACAACACAAACCAATAAATAAATAATACGGCACAAGGAGTCAAACAGAACAGGCACTCTTCCATTGAGTGGATTTACATGTTTATCACCTGTGCCCCAGTTATATTTAAGTTCACTCCACAGATTGCCTCTGGTGGCTTCTGCATGGTGATGGAGAGTCGCCCAGGTAAGGTAGGGGTCGTATAAACATGCAAGCCTCAAGTATTTACTCTGAGTCTTTGCAGAAAAGTTGCTGAGCCCCAACTGTCAACCACTAAGTAAGAAGCAGACTATCATGACTCAGGCTCCTCTGCAATGGAGATGGTCAGTTACAAAACACTCCAACCCCCTGACAGTGTATCCTCCTGTCATCTCCGCTTGTACTCCAATTATCACAAGGGTTGTAGTTCTCATAAATGGGAGACCACTAAAAATAAACTTCCAGTGGCACAGGTAGCTAAGTTCACTCTGCCCTTCAGCAGCTGTTCATTCTCAGTTGTAACAACGGTGTCAAGGACACTAAAAGTTTGCACATCGTTTCACTAAGGAATAAGCACTTCTACACAAGCAGTTTCCCAGGCTGCTGGGATTTCTTTCTTCCCTTTTGAGGAGTGGGGGTGAGAGTTGAGACAAGGTCTTGCTATGTAGTCTTGGCTAGCCTGAAATTCACAGAGATCCACCTGCCTCTGGATAAAAAGTATGTGCCACCATGCCTGGCTAACTGGGACTTCTTTCAAAGCAGAAACACCTGTCAATCACTTGGACGGTTAGATGAAAATCTTAAAACAAAACTTAAGAGAGAAAAGAAACAGAGAAGTAGATCAAGTATACCCTAGATGGGAATCCTGCTCCTGCCTCAGCACAATAACCACTTATTTTTTCCAGAACCATTTAGTCAGCCCCAGTCACCAACCGCCTGTGCAAGCCATGGTAATTCCAGCATCTCCTTCCTCTTTCGCGTGACTCTGTGTCTTCCTCTTCTCTAACTAACCGCTGTCACTTCTGAGTCTCCTTAGTGCTCTCTGGTTACTTCTGCAAGCTGGCAAGGCTAGTGCAGATCTTACTAGAGGTCGCTGTAAAGGAAGGTAAGTCTCCTTCGGGAAACCCACAGCCCTGCCTCTCACTTGGCACCAAATAGCCCCTCAATACATGTGCTTACTAGTGAACAAAGATCTTTCTAATCCCAGGGCCACCTCTAGGAGGCCTGGTCTGCTTCTTTCCAGGTGAGAAGTAGACCAAGTAGGGTATTGAAGTAGGTGGATGAACACTCAAGAACCCAGAATGTTCTGTCTGGACTATACAGTGTACAGGAGGAGCTGTTTTCTAGCCTTTGCTGGGAACAAGAACCTGCTCCATATGAAAGATCAAGAAAAGGCCCACCTGGCAGTCAGAGGCCCATGTCATGTTGTGGGTAGCTTTCCTACCCACACCCAAGTTTCATAATATCCCAGGAGTGCAAGCAAGGTTCCCTAACACCTCCAGAGTCATGGACGTAGCTATAATAAGAACCCTCACATGATCTAACCAACTCAACTGTGGCAATCCTCCTGCTTCAGCCTCAGAGGGACTCAACGTAAAAATGGTGTATTTGTTCCCTCGGGCTTCCTCCAATAACAAAGGCAAATGAAGACCTTTCCTATTTTGATTAGCCTTACAGTTCAAAAGCAACACTGGTAAAGACCTACCTCCCTTCACTTGTCCTTGCTTCTAAGGAGCTGGGCAAAGCTGGGTGCTTAGGCTACAGGAGGCCCAGGAGGACCACTTCCAACACTACTCCTTGCACGCCAACCTTACCTTCAGAGGAACTGTCTCTTCTAGGGTCCCCCCTCATAGTCCCTTTATTCTTCTCCTTGTCCAGAGTCTCCTCTCTTCATTCAACTCAACTCAGCATGATCTTGAGTAGCACTGTATGCATCCCCCTGCCAACTCTCCTGGGATGTGAGGGCAGGAATGTGGGTACCACCCTGCTTGCTCCCCCCAAGACTGAGGCTCATTTATTTTCTTCTGCTGACTTACAAGCCCCATTTTGTTGAGCTCTGTAGCTTGGCTGGTAGTAGGCATGACATATGTGCTCAAATTCAATGTTTTTGAGTGAAAGAAGATGTCAAACAAGTGACTAAAACAAATAGCAAACACAACACAGGCAAGCAGGATCAAAACAGCAACAAAGTAAAACCCTGCAAGCAGAGTGAGATGACTAGGCTTGCTTAGGTTAAGGCCTCAGGGAGGGTGGAATACCAGAAGTCAGAGGTGAGGAGGGCCTGCAGATGTGGCAGGGAAGGCTGGATATCTGGGCTACATACACGCAGACTGTGTTGGGGCAGAGAGGGAGGAGTTGCAGGACAATGCCACCCTATGGCAAGGACACCCTGGCTGCTGACAGAAGAGCCAGATGAGTTCAGAAGCCAAGGAGAGAGCACAGGAGGGCACTAGGGCAATAGACTAGTCCTACTTGGTAACACCATGTTTTCTGTTCCTCTAAGAGGCTACCACTTTCTCACTGAAGGACCGAGAAAAACAACCTATTGCCTAACCTTAGTTATAGTGACCTACACTGTACCTTCTGAGCTGTTCTATAGTGTCGTGTAAAAGGGGCTGAGGTCACAGGAGACCATGGGACACCTGATAAGGTTGATGGCAAACAAACTGGAACCTCTGGAGCTGGGTGTTGGCGGTGCACGTCTTTAATCCCAACACTTGGGAGGCAGAGGCAGGCGGATCACTGTGAGTTCGAGACCAGCATGGTCTACTGAGTGAGTTCCAGGACAGACTCCAAAAACAATACAGAGAAACCCTGTCTCGAAAAACAAAAAACAAAACAACAACAACAAAAAAACCAAACAAACAAACTGGGACCTCTGGAAGAACAACGAGCACTCTTTCAGCCCCAAGCTAGCACACCATCTTGACGGTAAGATACACACCAGAACCTACTTTGAGATACTCTGTGTGTGTGTCCGCGCGCATGTATGTATAAAAGAAGAGTGTGTAAAAGAGTGACTGTGTGTGAGAGTGAGTGTGTAAAAGAGAGTGAGTGTGAGAGTTTGTGGGGAAATTAGATAAAAGTGTCCTTCTTAAAGGCTTATGAGCCAAAACTAAAAATGTAATTGGTGCTAACTTTACAAGAAACCCAAAGCAAATCACCTTCTTCTGGTTCAGAGCCATGTACACAGCACAGGTTTCACTGTAC